CATATGAGGGAAGTCACTGCACCTTATATCATAAACAGCGTAGTTTTCGTTTCTTGAATACTTGCTACAGGTCATCTGGAGAAATGTCCTCCTCTCCAAAAGTGATCTTTAAACTGGCCTAAATAAAGGGCTTCGAAGACGTAAGACGAAACTTTCCGGCTCGATAAAAAACAGATCTCAATGACCACGTCAAATGGAGTAGACAACTAGCACGGTAAAAATAAAAGAAAGAAATCAAGGTTACAACGTGTGCCGATGATCATACTGGACAGTCAGTTAGCTGATAGGTAAACGTGAAGTAAAGTCACCATATGCACTGGCACTGGACAGCATAATGAGCTCTGCACATGCTGATATGAGCAGATCAGAATACCGTGTTGTCGCTATTATTCACGTCATCGACTTACCCATACCCACTTCTCGGCTGGCTGCGCCGACGCAATGTGAAGTAAATTCTGCCCTCAAGGGAATTTGCAGTTAAGACAGAGACTGTCCCTTGAGCAGGAATCGAACCCAGCACCTATAAGCCGACCTCAGGCACTTTGCCACCATACAAATTGGTAAGAAATTCGATATTAGATGACGATCTTTTCTTTTAACTGATCATAAACCGACACAACAAAAAGACAAAAGGACTGGGAGCAATCGATATGACCTATGTGCATTTGTGAAAACCGTGCATGCTGATTACGGTACTGCTCAAACAAATAAAGCGACCCAAGACTGGAGCAAGACTACTACGAAGACGCAGTTCGCCTAAATGAATCATATGTATCTAATAGCAAGAAAACGCAGAAATGATGCCGTGTAATTCGGTTTGATGGAACTGTGCTTACGAAAATGAGGTTGAGATTATAATGAGATTTTTCCATCAAATCAGCGAACCTTCTTATGCTAGGAAGGCTGCACATACGAAAATAACTAGCAAGTTCATCAACTCCCCTCATCGCTGTGCGCTCATTATGGGAAATGCCATGAACCTGAAAATTATGAACGAAAAGCAGATATGGGGATGCATATCTGATGTACAGGTGAGCAGTCAGATATTATCCATTTTGACCTGGCATAAGATGGCCTTACATGACCTGCTAAAGATGGCAATGATGTCTGCTAAGGAAGAAGGATCGCAAACCGATGTTCGAACACCAAAAACATTAAGTCTTGAAATATCGAATGATCATGATTTCAGAACTGTATAAATTCTAGATATTAAAGATACCTTCGGTCTAGGTATACTATCAGTAAAAAAAAAGAACACGATAAATGTTTCCTGTCACCTGTTCAGATTCACAAGATAAATTAATGATTCCTTTGTTTCTAGCAGCCTAGAGGACCGTTCAAGCAGGCCAAGATTCAGTGAAACTATAGCATCTACAGCGCATGGCGAAAAACAGCACCACTTTGTTGGGTTTAAAAAGAACATGTTCGAACACAAACGTACACACCTCGATCCATAGGTACGTATAATAAAAATTAACCGCAACATTGTGGGTTTACTAGTTTTCGATACAAGAGAAGCTACCTCCTGTCAGTCCTTCAGATTTCAGGAGAAAACCAATTGCATCACCTTTCCTTCGTGAATTGAAGAAAAGTTAGGATAAGCAGAAAACAAGGAAAGAGAAGGGCAAGTAGCAGGGAGAAAAATGCAGAGTGGAAATGAAAAGAATCAATTGGACACAGAAGAAGAGAAAGAAGAAAAGAGAAGGAAAGAGTGATGAAAAGAGGGTAAAGAAAGCAAGAAAAGAGAAAAATGACGTTTTCAGTTATTTAAATTCTTTAGAATAAAAAGCTGACAGAAATTTCGCAATTAATTTCTGTATAAATGCAAACAACGTGATAAAATAAACTAATGGCATTGTTTAAGAGGTAAATAAGAACTTCAACTCCGGAAACAGAGTTCAAAACTGCAGTATCCTTCTCCTATTAAATATACAGACCTTAAAAGTGTTAACAGATGAGGCCTTGGATAATAGACAACCGCTAATCAACCATTTCAAAGTCCTTGAGAAACTTATGTCGCTATAAGATCTCTATGTCTGCTGATGACTTCACACTTATACGTAGTTATTAGGAAGCATCATTGCAACAAGAGAACAAACACAGGATCGTCCTATTTGCATATTCAATATGCACCAGCTACTTGATCAAATATTAAAGTTTAAACTTCAACACGCATTAAGGGACGCAGTTACCTTCGAGCCCCTTCTCGGCGAAAAATGCCTTCAATTTTTTTATCCGCTGTTTGTCCGTCGTAAGTCCTTCGAACAAGCGCTTGTATACGCAGTGCAGGCCGGCGATAGGAACGTACCGTTTAAGTTTTGTCAATAACGGATTCTCAGATTCAGAGGACTGCTTTGAAGTAGGCGATCTCTTCTTAAAGAAGTGACATTAGACCAAATCGCTCAGAGTAAGCCAAATCACAACAACGCATAAGAGAACTAACCTATTAAAAAACCAAAATAACCGTTTCCCTATAGTTTTTAGAGCAATGCAGTCCTCCCATAATTCCATGAGCATTAATTTAAACTTCTAAACAATAAAAAGTACTGACATTAAAATATCAATTAACAATTTATAATGAAAATAATACTACCAACAATACCAATACTAATACTGTAAAGTAATACTAATAGCATTACGATTGACAATTATCACTTTTTCTCTCCGGCATACTCGCTTAACAGTAGTTGCACTTCGAGTATATTTCTGCCAATTTTCAAATGTCGAACCTTAGGGGCGGTTCTGTTCGGGAGAAGGTCGTTTCGACTAAAAACACAGGTGGAAAGACTTAAGTGCACATCCACCACAACACCTGTAAAAAGCACTGCGAAATTTTTTACGCCGTACCTTCTACCATCTAAAACAGATAACAAGAGCAGGCGATGCGTGAAGGGCGATGTTTTGAAATGAAAGGAAGCGAATACAAATAATAAACTTCATGTCACTTAGACGGTCAAAATCAAAATAACCAGTATAGTAAGTAATCTTGGAAAATGAAATAAAATATGATCCCGATGTTCTGGGGCAGCTTCCACGACTGGGAGAATTCGCAACTGCCGGCAAATGTCACATTTCAAATAGTGCTACCGGTTATTCACGGCGAAAACGCACCGTATGTAGAAAGAAAAGTTTTTCTTACTTTACACCGATACTACCGCAGTGCAAGATTAATAAAAGACTTTACTTCGGGTAGTACCGCAATATCGCATCGTTCCTTTGCTTTTAGTCGCTTGGGGAGGAGACACCATTTACGCAGGTCTCCGCTTCATGGTATTGCGGTGCAACACGGAGAAAAAGGACATCTGTCCTACACGACCGCAATATCCTATGAAAAGTAAGAAACAACCTTTCTTCACACCGTACGTTCTCGTCGCGCAAATCTGCTATCAGTACTTGAAAAATAAGTGATTCTGTTTACATTTTTGCATTGATTATTTGAAAACAGGAACTGACAACTTCACAGCTTTTGTTTAAAATTTCTGGCTACCCAGCGTTAAAAACCTAAAACAGTGAAAGAACAGAAGGAGCGACGGAGCGTCAATATATATTTTCTACCCCATACCGCACTACCCATAAAACCAGTATGGCCATGAACAGTTAACTCGGTGGCTAAGAAAACGAGGCTTTCATTATTAATAAAAATAATAAACCACAATAAAAAAGAAAAACAGGGATCGAAAATATTTACCTTTTTAGACTTAGTGAAATCTTCGGCCGAAGATCCTGCCTTATTTTTCACAGGTTTTTCAGAGATGACGAGATCGTCGATACTAGTATCACTGCTCGAATCAGAATCTTTCTGCTTATCGTTCCTTACATTCGTGATGCCCCCAATGTCCCCCTGCCCTTCTGCAATTGTCACCGTTTTGTCATCGTTGGATTTTGAATCGCCACTTTTGTGCAAACCTGAGTCTAAGTTGATTTTCAGGCCATCTTCAAGGTCTGAATCAGGAGAAGAGGAAGTGCCGGAAGCAGAACCTCCTGACGTGGAAATTGGCTTCTTGCGAGTTTCGGAATTAGAAACAGTTTTGGATAAAGTATCGACATTCATGTCTGAATCTTCATCTGCTGAAGAGTCAGAAACATAGGAAGCTTTGGACACCGGAATTAGCTTCTTGCCACGTTTGCCTCCGGCAGTAGTTTTGGAACTTTTACGGCCGACCTTTTCTTCTTTACTTGAATCTTTTTTTGAAGAGTCAGAAACATTGGACTCCCGCGAAGTCACAACTATCTTCTTGCTACTTTTGGCTTTGGGAATAGTTTTCGTGCTTTTCCGCCCAGCTTTTAGAGAAATTTCTTCCTCCTGGCCTGAATCGTTGTTACTCAATGAAGACACTGAACCAGGAGGACTTTGAACAGCAGCCGCTGGCTTCTTGATACTTTTTGAACAAGAAACGGAGCTGCATATGGTATCCACCTCTTGATCAAAATCTTCTTCAGAAGAATGGTCGGAACCGTAAGAATCTCGTGATAACGCAACCGCTTTTTTGCTACTTTTTGGCCCAGGGGTAGTTTTGACATTTTTGCTACCCGCTTTCGAGGAAATATAATCTTCCTGGTCTGAATCACTACTGTTTAATCCAGAGATGGAATCATGAGAACCGTGCACTACCACCACCGGCTTCTTGGGATTCTTTGTTTTCGGAGAAACGCTGATATTAGTAATGCTGGTTTTACATGCTGTATTTCCTTTCTGATCCAATGCATCATCCTCTGAAGAAGACTTGGAACTGTGAGGACGACGAGACAAGAGAAAATGTTTTTGGCTACTTTTCGTCAGAGTCTTGGTATCATTGTTTTTGACTTTTTTGAGTTGACGGCCGCCGTGACTGTCCCCTTTAGACTTAAAAATGCCGTTTGGAGGCTGCTCCTTTTTTCGGGGTTTCTGAGAATCTTTCTTCAACGATGGTTCTACAACAAAAGTAGTCAAGAAACAATTAACAATCAATCAAATGATTAGCAGCGCATCACTCACCTGCAGCTTCGCTGCTATATTCGCTGGAGACGGCGTCAATTTGTTCTGAAGAAGACCGGGACTCAATAGCCTCCGAACCACGTTTTCCCGCCAAAGAAGCGAGTGGTTCTTCTGTTTTGTCAGCTTCATCGACGTCTGTGTCGTTGGAAGACTGGCGATTTTTCCGCTAGACAAAAACGAGACTATATTTCAAGTTAAGACATTTCAAGTTAAGACAGAATTCACAACAAATTAATAGTTTTAGTTTTCAAAAAGTTTCTTAGACACTACCTGAAAAGGAAAAATGATGTATGCCATAAATTAATTGTTCAACAACTATTGACGAAATCCCTAAACGCACAAATGAAAACAGCAAGCCCCTTTATGAATAGTGAAATTCTACTGGAGGATGGAAATGAAAGGAGATTCAGTCATCATTCTTACACTGATTCTCAGCGTGAAGGATCCATTGCCATTTTGTGACAGGTGATGTAAACAGCAAAGGGTTCAATGACAGGGCCATGCTGCTTTGGACACGAGCGTAAACCGTAGATTAGAAGATTAAGAAAAGGAGACTGACCATGATCGACACACTGGTTAAGCAGAATCCATTTAATCCAACTTGTTGGAAGCCAAAACAAGGCCAACGTCGACCAGTATGCAACGTAGATAAACAAAATAGAAGATATACCTTTGGAGAGGCGAATTTTCTTCGACGTTCCAGTAACTATGCAATATAGCAAAGATACTGTAAAACAGGGAATACAATGGATATCATAAACCAAAGAGCTCATGCTCATGTAAACGGGTTAAAGCGATGATGTCACAAATATACACAAGTAAACATGTGCTCTGCGTTTAGTTTTTTATTCTTCTGTGCTGAAAGACGTGGCATTGCTCCGATTGCTCAAGCAATAAAATACATTCATTCAAATCATATAAAAAATCCCTGAAAACTGAACGTTAACTAAGCAGTTTAAAGTATTGTTAGAAGCGTGGTCACACTCTTCGGTTCCATTAGGAAGGTACTCGACAACAAATTACATTATGTTCCCGTTCACAGGCAGTTAATTGGCAGCTTGTTCGCATCGGATTACACTAATCGCATGGCTACATTAACATCTTGAGAAGATGCCTTTTTCGTGCTCAGATGCACGATCAACATCGATCTGACCCCCTCCACCCGTAGCCAAAAGGAAGAATGTCACATGACGCATAAAGCTAGATAACTGTTAATTGTTGAATTTCAGCCACGTCGTTTGACAAAACATGCAATAGACCGGTTCGATAGGGGAGTACTATTCTGGGTCATGGAGTACTGAACATGAGCCGCCACTGTCCGTCTGCAGAAAGCAACAACATTTTCGAACATAACAAATCTTAAGCAATCTGAGGTTCTGCAAAGCGATTAACAATTATTATGACAAAACAACAACACCATCTGCAAACAGAAAATGCGGATGCAAGTTCATCGGACATCCTGAAATGAGATTCAGCAGGAGCAGTACATTTGACATAACACGTAAACAAAGCCTTGGAAAAGTCAAATATATCACGAAATTCAGAGTCAGAAACTGTCTGAGAGAAACGGAGTGAATCTGTTGAAAAAGACGTTCGAACTGGACTGAATCGTCATGAAGGAAGAAAAGAATCTGCAAAAATTGCAACTTTGCGTAAAACAGTTCCAGTATAAACTAGCTTTTAAGACCCACAATTCGAACATTGTTTCATCAACGAAGGAAGACCATGGATGACAAAAGACTAACACATGTTGAACAGCTATTGATCATCCATTTCCATGACGAACGATAAATTTTTTACTGCGTGGGGGCATGTTAAAAAAATTAATAAATACTTCATAACAAAGTAGTACTACAAGGTACAGCAGCACTTTCTCGCTTTTAAATGTTTACGCAAGATATATGCACAATAAGGCTGCACGATATTTAAAATCTTTTAGTGTACAGATATATTTCACTGGCTAAAGGCAGTCTTGCTCGTCGTTGATAATCATTCAAAAAGCAGTGGAGAGCTTAGGAGCTCATTAAGTGCAAATTATAAAAAATTACATCAAGAAATCAGAACCTCGAAAAATATTGATCATCTGTCAGTTTTCATTACGGATTAGATTTAATTGTAAAAACTTAATTGGTATATAAAAAGTACACTTACGCCCTAAGACCGAGGATCGACTGTCTGACATCACTCTTCATTTATTTTTTTTGTCACATTCCTTTGAAAGCAAGAAAAACAACAAAGACTACAAACTCAATACTATACCTCACAAAAAAATTAATTACTTTAAAGTTGTCATCGCTATCGTCACTCGCGCTATGCGGCGTAACATTCGCCCTGTTTTTCGCGCTGATTTTGCTTTGAACTCGAAGCTTCCATTTTGCCAAATTTAAGTTCTCTTCGCCTTCAGAGTTCGAAGATGATGAAATTACCCTGACTTTCGGCATCCTTTTATTCCTACAAAAATATTTCAGGCATATATCAATTCAACAATGTATTCACTTTTAGGAGAATCGCGTGACGGCAAAAGATATTTAACAATGCAGATGGAGTGTCGCTAACTTAAGCTGCTTCTA